TTTACAATAAAAAATACAAGTGACTGTTTTCTCTTTTTTTGTTTATTTCGTACATATTTCATATATTGTCAATATTTCGAGCAAGTAATAACCTAAGTAGCAGTGCGATTGTATATCTCACTGTTGGATTACTTTTTACGTTTGAAGTTTTATTTCGTTTTATTGTATATAAGTAATTATAATATAGTCCTCTTCACTGAATTTCGGGCACGGCGGCCAGTCTTATTGAACAGTTTGCACTATCAAACTGTTCAATAAGTGTGTACACACAAGCAAATATCAATATCCTTACTCTCATAGTCCGATGGCAAGGCAATTCGGTACGACCGACGGAAGATCGGACACATAACCAAAGCTTTACGTGTTTCTCAAAGCATGGAGATGATACACTGCCAACTCCCTAATTCAAACAATTCAAACTCTGGACTACATGATTGTCAGTTGTGCTTACGATCATTAGACTAACGACGCAGTCAAAAAATGGAAATGTAGATGTATCAGTATCGGTTACAAGCCGATTTTTGTTTATATGTATTTATATAGTTGCGGAGTGAATCCAATCGGTAAACAGTTCAGACCAGACTGCGATTGTTTTATTCTATTATCTACACTGCTATACACACTGCTTGGTGTGGTACATATATAGTAAATCTGCCTAATAAATCACCCAGTAAATCTTTTAAAGGGTTACTATATTATTTAAGTTGTGTATAATCAAATTCTTGTGATTTAAAAACCTACTCGTATTTTACAAGGTTGCCTTTACGTCTTTCCGTAGATTGGGAATTGAATAGCAGCAGTTGGAAATAACTAAAAAATTTTAAACGTTCGTTGATTACAAATAATTTGAAATAACTTTTTCCTTTCATACGAATCGTTACATGTTATTTTATTATTCTCACGTATGCTGCCAGTGTCTTCTTCGTGTACTTTTAAACGGATGTCGATAAAAAAGTTCGAAATTTAAATGTAAGTTCTGTTCACGATACACATTGCATATAAAACGTATGAAATTTTTAAATGTGAATAAACTTATTAGTTTATCATGTAGTAGTTGTTGTTCTTGTTGACCGTGCGATTACATATCTAGCTCAGCCGTGATAGCTAAATAAGCTAATTTTTATAGAATAAGCGTGACAAACGAACACAGTCCACCTGATGGTAAGTGGATACTGTGACCCATAGCCATCTACATCTATTCTTCAGAATCAAAATGCGAATCAAAATGTCACCCCTGAAGACTAAGATAGAATGTCTTGTGTAGTAAGCACACAGTAGGAAGCACGGCAGCATTAAGCTGCTATTTTACTTTTGTATTTTTATATGAGCGTGGTCTTTCCTCGTTCAAGTCAACTCATACGTGCTACAACTGTAATATAGCTGCAGCATGGCTTTACCACGTCAAAAGGCCGTGGCAAAAAAGTGGTGGTAAATCGTGTTGATTTGCCGATCGTCCACATCACAGACTTTGATCGTTTTGACCAACTCACACAAACTGGTCCGACTATAATTTAGGTAGTTTTGTCTTTTCTTTTTATATATAGAAGTTAAGGTGACAAACGAATACACAGTTCACCTGATGGTGTGTATGCAGACCCATGGAAGCCCGCATCTATCTTCGATTGAGAATCAAAATACAGATGTGTTGTACCTGAGGACTAAATTGAAATACTTCGTTACCATTCAAAGTGGCATTATACTATTATTTCCTGCTGTTATTCTGTATGAATCACCATTCGTTCTGCAAATATGCTTTAGCGTCTCGATCGATAGCATACATGTATAGATAGCATCAACCTTCTTCGTTTCAATCAATGCTACTTTTATGTTGCGTCATCTTTTAGTGTTCATCTTCCGCTTTTTTATAGGATGAGGTGACAAACGAGCACACAGTCCACCTAGTGATAAGTGGTTGCTGTGGCCCATAGACATCTACATCTATCCTCGATTACAAATCAAAATACAGATGCGGTGTCACCCCTGAGGAGTAAGATGGAATGCTTCGTTTCCAGTAAAAAGGGTCTCTGGATCTCTACACTCACCATACGAAACACAGCAGCGTTAAGCTACTATTTCAAGCTGGTTTTCTCTGAGAGCGGTCCTTCCCCGGTCGAGCTGGTTTAATGGTTAGATGATAGTGTAGTATAAACATACGAGATCACAGTCCAATTGATAACAAGAGTAACCGCTTATGAACAACTGCAGCCAACAAAGAACGCTACAGATGCATTTAAAGTTAAAACATTTGAAGATTAAGGTGGTAAGGCCTTCATGATCGTCATACTAGGTGATAGAAATATTTATCTTTTATTCGCACTGCTGTGTTCCGGTCCGAAGGCTATAGATAGCCAGAATAATAACAGTCTATGAGGCATTCCATTTTGCCCTTCTTTTTTTGTTTGAATTTGATTGCAGTTGTCCATAAGCTGCACTAACCACTACGAACTTACAGAATACACAATGAGGTATTCTGTAAATACGTTTGTCACAGTTTTATGAAAAAATCACCAATCAGCTCGTAAAAATTCACTACTTGACATAAGCCTCGCCTGTTTCAGGAAGGATTCGCCTTAATCATCACTCTTGGCAAGCGAATTGACTCGTTGTGCCAGACGTCTAGCACCTTTGAGTCTGCGGCCAGTCGCCGTTCTGCGTATTATATATCTTGTCTGACGTAAACAGGAATACATTACAGCCGCTAATTAAGCTGGCTCTTTTATCTTAGAAACGGAAGCATATTAATTAGTAAATGTGAAATTTGCAAGAAAGTGTGAAAGTGATGTCTTACGATGGAAAAAGATATAATCAGAGATATAAGAAATATCCAACTTAATAAATCGGGGTCGGCGCAGTTTCTACTGAAAGTTTAAATGAAAATACGTTATCTTCATAAATAGCGTAAATGTAAAGATTACCTCAAGACATTGAGCTATTATGTACTACGTACTAGAGGATACACTGCATTCAGCTACTCTGTTCCACTCAACTGCGGTGCATGCACTGCACTTTACTCAGTCACTCGCTAGGCGCTTGTAGAGTTGTCACGTGTTGTGTTGATTTAAAAAAAATCTCTTGATAAAAATATGCCGTCTTGTGTACTTAGATATTGCACAAATAATTCAAGAAATGTCAGTAAAAACCAAGGAATTACTTTTCATCGGTTAATAAGATACTTATTCAATAAAAAAGTATTATAAATTAATAATAAAAAAAATATTCCTAAGACGCCATCTCGTATCATTGAATATAGATTATGAAATTAATATGTTCAGATGCGACTTTTCTGTGGGTACTTAGTTTAGGGCGAATATATTATTATACACATTTTTTTTTTGTAGAAACATATAAGTTATTATAATTAGGCAAAATTTTTCATATTTAAATCTGCTTATGATTCTTTTATTTTATTTTTAGGTTTCCACTTCAAAGTCAAAGTGGAATAAATTCGTCCATTTTTAACTCTCGCGTGCCCAGCATTTATGAACGATTATTTACAGCATTTATGATTCTAATTTAAATATAATATATTTGTAATTAAAATTTTATGTTAATAAGTTTTGTTAAACATACATTTAGTATGTTTTTTTTTATATTTGACATAGATACCTTTTAAAATATTCAGATAAAAATATCATTAAAATGTAATTGTGATATAAGTTTTTGTAATATTATATTAAATAAGCAAATATAATATACAAAATAAATGACAAAATTTAAATATTGCTCTCGATATAATTTACCTATTTAACAATATAATCTACTATTACCTACGGATCATTCTACCTGTGTTTATTCTATGATAAAAAAACCAACCGCGCTAACACAGAGTAGCGCACATTTTTGTTTGAGATAGCTGTTCTAGTACGTAAACATACATATTACTTCAATGCCTCAAGATATCAATGTCGCCTACTAATCTTACTACTCAAACTGTCCACTTCAATGAAAAAATGACATTGAAGTGGACACTTTTAGTGATATTATATATAGTATGGTTTTTTTAAATATTAAACCGAAATATTTTCGTAATTTAGGCTTTTTTTTTTGCACTTTAAGATTATATATTCCGTTATAATAACGCTTAAAATAAAGTATTGTAGCATATAATAATGGTTGTATTCGACCAGAAAGATAACTCTGACGCATATTTTAGTAAGATTGAGAAATGGTCTTCGCTCTAAAAAGCCATCGTTTAAAACTATTATTTTGCTTTGTAGTACTAGTGATTTAAATAAAGACTTCATCTTTCTAAAGTCATCATTTTCTGCAATTAACCTGCTCACATCGTTACGATATCGCCCTTGAAAAACCCTAAAACACGAAGTTTTCGAAGCGAATTGCTTACGACTATTTTTATTTTCTGTAAATTTTAGTACTACATATTCTTTTTTTAAAAGCGTCAGCCCTTCTATTGCATGTGTAATACATAAATTGAACAAGGACCCACTGTATAACCATATTTAATTACATTTTAACATATCATCAGCTATTTTTAAATTGTTTACCTTACCTTACCTGTGACATGTTCAAAAGTATGTTATGATAAGCATATGTTGTGGTATAGATGGTTTAGTGATGAAAATACCTGATTACTAAATCGCAGGTCTCGAATTAAAGACACTACGTACAAGTAAAACGTTTGTGCAAAAACAGAAAATGCATAAATTGATATTATGGTTAGGTAGTTAACGCATCTATCAGTTAGGTAGTTACCTATGGAAAGTTAAATCTATTTGAAATTTCTTACAACCGCCTCTTACGACACTTATAATACACCACGGTGTAATAAATTCTCTTACATCAGCAACACGGTAAAACTGTAACTATTTCTACATAATTTTGGGATTATAAATAATTACTATTCAACTAACTCAAATTTGTTTCATTGTTATTCAAATTTGGGTTCGCGATCTTGGGCAGATATGTTGAAGAGAAGCTCTATATACAAAATTATAGGGAAATATTTTACCAGTAAGGAAGTACTTATAAAAAACAATTACCCAACAAAAATGGTCGCATCGTACAGATCACTTGCTTTCCTTGTACAATCTGAAAAAAAAGATACGGTTATTTTGAAAAGTGATTTACGCGTAACATTAATATCATTAAAATATCTTATAAATATGACATTGGGAAGTCTGAATATCACCGACGAAACTGAATAATTTATTGGGAATACAAAAACATTCTAGTGGTATTAAAATAATCAGAATTAGAAACATCAAAATGTTTTATTGAAATATAGTTTTTGATAAGGTAGCTTCGAATTGTACAGTTTCGTTTATCTACTCATTTGATATATGTGTGAGATTTAAAAATAAGTAATAAATAAGTAAAACTTATTTTTTTTGTGCACTGCCATACATTTCATCAGATTGCCGTAAAGCTTTGTCAACTTATTGCTTGCACTTGCGCGAAGATTATAGGCATTGTACAATTTTAACTTACAGTACGTGGCGTGCCTATCGCCCCGACAAATTCGTTTGAGAGTTACTTGTCATTCAACTACAATGAATTTATTATCAGTACCCGGATGACCAAGCTTTGCTCGTTTTTTTTTTTTTTTAAATTACATTTAGTTACAAATTACACATTGAAAAAAAAAAGTAAAAAAAATTGGACCGGAGACGGGACGCGAACCAATTACGATTTCGCGATGCTCGATATCCACTTAAACTATTACGATCATTAACACAGTGTCAAAATTTACCTTCTTACATTGCAGCAGTTTTTCATTGCCTGAAAACACGGACAAAAAACATTTTCTAAAAATAAATCCTAGCTAGATGGATTTATTGCCCCCGAAACTCCCTGGACACTAAATTTTATGAAAATCGTTGGTCTACAATTATTTCTTCTGTGGCAGCAACCAGCTAGTATTTAGTATTAATTTTCTACGTTTATTATAATTTTTTTATTTAGTTAAGTGTAAGTGTACAGTCGTGTTGACTGTACACTTACACTGCAAATTGAGTTTCTTAGGTAAGGTTTAGTAAAATTTAATACTATTTTATCGTTGTAAATTGATAAAGAAATACAATATTTAATGCCAGTGTAGATTGTAGTTTTTTTTGAAAACGTTTTATTAGACATTTTTAATTTAAGTAGTTCTTTCAATAAAATTTTTGAGGAAATTCAAAAATATCGATTAAGAACCGAGAAATCTCGATTAAGTTTTCCGTTAAGGTGACAATTAGGGCTCTTTATACCTACTCGTTCCATTACGATACAGGGGCGTGCTATCATTACAGAAGAATACGAGTAATAAAAAGCATTAAACACAAGTATTGCAACAAACTTAAATGCAATAAACATAACAGTGTACAACCATTATGTGTTGTCAGTGTTGACATATTATGGATCTGAGACGTGCTCCTTTACCGCTGGCCGTATTAGGAAATGGTCCACTTAGTGAGCTATGAAGAGGATTATGCTCGGAGTTTTCCTTCGTGATAGAAATGCAGTAGCGTGATGAAGTGGTATTTCTTGGGGAGATCTAAGTCTAATAGGCTGGATATTTGCCAAAGTTACTACGCTTGGCTGGTGGGTTAGGTTAGGATTTTACGGCAATTTTTTATTATTTTGGGTTGTTATCAGGGAACTGCTGCTGATCATCTCCTGTTAAGTTTCCTTTTGTCACTTATGTAGTGGTGGTGTTATAGTTTCCACCACCACATATCACCACGTGAACGTACGGAATGAGACGGGATAATTAAATTCTTACATATAAAAACTGAAATTTATTTAATACTAAGAACTAAGTCATAAACTGACATATGATATCACAGTTAAAGTTGTCAAGAATAAGTTAAACAGTACTAAGGTCGTAAGCGTTCTAGCGATGTGATGACACATAAAGATTGAAATTGTTTGCTTTTGAAACCGGCTTTATTAGTAATTATATTTTAAACCAGTAGCGTATTTATATCTAATAAACACAATTTAGAATGTTGCTTCTACGTTATGTGCTTCCTTGATCATCGAGTTAACATTATTATGAAATCACAGTTCAAAAATAGATTATTTAATATTAATTATCACATTTTGCTTAAGACTTTTTCATTATTACAATGACAAGAGCCCAACACTTTATAGGCATCCTGCGATATAAAACGTACCGACCATAGACAAGTGAAATAGGCCACAATAAAGCAACCATGCCCTACATACCACAATGTCAATGACCGACAGAAATACTTACGTGCAACTAGCAGCCACAAAACAAACACAAATTAAAAAGATACACTTTGCTTTATTGACTTTATTTTTTTACGACAAAGGCACGGAAAAGCATACGGCCACGCCTGCACCGTGCTTGATCGAGAGTGACGTGCGCGGAAGCAGCCTCAACGCGCTTTATATCTAGGCATTTAACAGTTATGTTTGGAGGTACTACAACGAGTATAGAGGTAACTTATATTCCAACAAAATGAATTCGAAAAGTGAAAAAACCTAGTCCTTTAAGTAGAAATTAACAAAAATTACAATACAATACTTCGCTCCTTATTGTACACCAAGGAAATATAAATATAACAAAAATAAACAAATATTGAGGCGAAAACAAAAGACGGTCTTATTGCTACATTCTTCCAGACAATCAAGAAAATGAATTAAATAAAAATAAGAGAAAAATTAAAAATGGCAATAAATAATAATAATAATATTTGATTTTCCGATTGTTCATTTGATACGAACAAACTGCTCACGAAGTAGGCACTACATTATAATCAGTGGAATCGTTCGAGTACCAGTCAAGGTCAATTATTAATTCAACTCATCGATTGGATTTTCCTAACGCCTGGATGCAGCAGGCCTGCTGGTACATTTGTTTCTCTCATAAGCGCATTGAAATCCATCGGGACGAATCTACAAAAAAGAAAGCATGTACTATTAAAAAAGGGATAAGTATGTATAAGTATGTGTTTACTATTAACTTTAACAATACATTAAAATTTTAAGATATCAAAGATTTCTAAATAACAAAATAAATGTTTGCTGTTTAAAAAAAAATAAAAGAATATGTCATATTGATCTCATAATCAAATTTGAGTTTTACACGTCGTTTTTTTTTTGTAATTTAAGTAATAAAAAGTATATGTAAAAGAAAAGGTCGACACCGAAAAGATGAAATTAATTTTTTAATATTTTTTTATCAAACATTAATAAAAATTTAATATTGCCGTATCTAATACATTCCTAGCTCCCACCTACCCGTTATCAAGCCCGCGAAATCAAATGAAATGTGAAAGAAAACGAAGCAATGTAGAAAGGTCGCCCTGAAAAGATACGAGACTCCTCGTGCAAAATATCGAAACATCGAATCAAAGATTTATAAGCTCATTAACCATGGCATTTATATCTTTTTTATTGGAAGAAAGTCACATATCCGTAAAATAAAAAGAAAAGGTTTTATTATTAAAATTATTATAATATAATTTATAAAATAAAGTACATAGCTTACCTATCATCGATTTCCATTTTCAGTTATGTATTAGACCAAGGGGTTGTTAAAGAATAACTCAACAAAGATCCAAAGTATTGTTGGAGTCTCAACCAAACGAATATTTTCTTTATAGGTATAAATATTTTTTCATTCAAGAATAATATTAGATAATAATAAAGTATGAATATTCATTTATGCAATTAGAATTTATAAATATTTATCAACGTACTTGTGTTTGTGCTTCATTATCAATATTTTGAATATAAATTACCTTACCCATAACTTATTTTCATCTTTAAATATGGCCGACTTCTGCATCTACAAGAAACTTACAGAAATATTTCTTCCCTAAAACCGTTTGTTTTATTTAAGCAGCTTACCGAATACAAAAATTTCTTTTGATATAATACTGAACGTCATAATAGGATGAACGTCTACAAAACAAATTCATTATGAGAAACCTGAATAATTGATTAAAAATATGAAGATCGCCATCATCATTTTATTAAAATTTCTAGTTAAAGTTCTGACCATTACCTTTTTACAAAGTTAATTTTTTACCAAGTCAAGTCAAGCTGATCTTGGGCTTAAAACTCGGTCGGTGCCAAGCTATACAATCAATTAAATAATTTAAGGAGATGATAAGATGAGCCGTGGTAGCTCAGTGGGTTAGCGCTCGCTATAAATTTCACAGTACGCTATCAACTCGGGTTTGATCCACTAGCACCAATGAAATTGTTAATTGCAATTTTAAGTGCTGATTTAGCACGTGCTCTGTTGTGAAGGAAACATCGTGAAGAACGTGAGGATCTGCTTGTCTGAGAAATAAAAAAAAATATTTCGAAGACATATGAAGTCTTTAAGAGGACTACAAGAGCAAAGTGACCTCGATTGATGCACGCACACATTTATTTACGCCATCAACGTGAACGCCATGAACGTGAACACCATCTAACGATAGTGAGGTTTAACACTAACGGATTAGCAAGATTACGCCCGAGTTTTTGATGCATTAGGGTAGCGCGGCGGACACTTCCTTGCCCTAAACCCTTTCAAAAGAGCCCAGCAGTGGGACGTATGTAGACTGTTACTATACAATCAAACTAAAATTATTGTTTTTTCTTAGTACCGGGTTTTGTCAATATATGTTCAGTCGTGAGCTCATGATTTCAGCTTGACTTCAGAGGAGCTTTTTTTTTTTTTTGCATGGGGAAATGCCTACGCATACCCGCCTCGCGGGGGGCAAGGACGGGTTATGTCGGACTCGCACCGACTAAAACCCCATGGTGTTCCACCTTTGTCGCATATTGGCAGGGCTACGGGAACGCTTTCGCACAGGCATAAAACCCGAAAGACAATCATAAACAAATTTTTAAAAAATAACTATTTTATGTTTCAAAAATTATTATACCTGCTTCTAAACTACATATGTTTATGTTACACATTTAATTTAAATTGCTAAGCGTAATTATTTTTTTTTTAAATCTGTCGGTGTGAGCATTTAAAACGCAATGTGTACTACCTATATATAATATTAATGTTCCGAATTTGTTCAACGGTCAACGGGATAATGCGAGCACATCGCATAGCCTCATAGCATACAAACTGTGCTATGAGGATAACAAAGTCTAACTTAAATTCAACCGCACTCCCAGTTTTGGGCCTGTGCTAAAGTGATATAAGCATATATTTAAAAATAAGCAGGTAAATAAAAAGTCAAGGTCGTGCAGAATAGTGACACGTTCTGCATTGATTTTGAATGTCCGCACGGAGGATTGTCTGCAATACAAGAGTGTGTGTTTGTCATACTATGAACGCCACGCCCAGCTGCTCGCTCTACCCAATTGTTTATAAATTTTCCTAGGATAACTAGACGACACGTGCTTGTAAGTATTTAAGATATATTTAAATAGTTGTGTCTTTTTTTAAATTACTTTATTTAATTTTTGTAAATTTACGTTTAGTTTTATTGCCGTTTAAATGTATATTATAAACGTTAAAGCAATGCACTAATTTTAATATATCATTATTCATTTGGTCATATTTTTACAATAACTGCCGTATAAGTCTAAAAATCGAAGAGTTATCATGAGCAAATAACTTTATCAATAAAGCTATATCATGGTTATTTCCAAACGAGTGATGCAAGTCATTAATAGAAACTAAGAACAGGAAGGAGCCAACAATTAACCCCTACTACCGGAAGAACTTCTCACATTGAGAACTAATATGAATGCCTGAATCATGGTGAACATAGTGGAAGACGTTTTCTAGTTACTACACTGTAAAGGATACGGTATTAACATCAATGGCGAGTACATCACTTCGTTTTGCTGGCGATATAGTCTTTATGGCAGAATCACTGGAGAATCTAAGCACTATGCTCTATGACCTCAATAATGCCTCCTGACGGTTAGGTCTTAAGATGAGCATGTACAAAATAAGCATCATGTATAACGTCCATAGTGCTCGCAACAACTACCCATGCCGGTAGTTGCACTAAGCTCGAAGTAATTGACGAGTTTGTTTACTTGGGACAAATAATCTGACTAGATAAGTCCAACTGCGACTGAGAGGTCAATCAACTTTGACCGAAAGGTACAAAACACCCAAAGCGTCCTCTGAATTCTCCCATTCATAAAAAATATTATGCTTGATAAGTTCAACACCAGAGTCATGACTTTATTATGTTTCATTAAAACAAGAAGTACTCCAGATTCAACGCTTATTTAAAAAATAGTAACTAGATAAGGTTATGTATTTATTATAGATGCAATAACTTTAAGGTAAATCCCCCATAAGTCTGCCGTTTTCTTAGGCGTAACATTACACGCTCATGCAGGCTGTCAGTTTTACAACAATCACGGTTGTGATTGACGAATAACCGTGTAATGCAGTGATTGACGCCTGCATGAGCGCGTAATGTACGCCTATCAGTCACCATCCGTTTTTTATCAATCATGATTGATGGAATTGACTGACGCCTGCATGAGCGTGTAATGTACGCCTTAACATCAATAGTTTTAAAATAAGTATATAACGATAAATTTTGACTATACTGTACGATACACAGAAATGTATTCTGTGGTGCGATACCTAGATTTTATTTATCTTTTTCTTTTACTTCCTTTGTAAATGGTCTATGCAATTTGAGCCAAAATAATAATAATATATGTAAATGTTTACACACCATATGTAGTTATATAAAGTTGTGTACTTTGTTTTATTGTAGAGATTCTCGATCAAAGCCCTAAAATTGTTTACGTCAATGATACAGCCTAACAAAAGTCCACTGCAGGGACCTACCCTTATATTGGATCTTGCCTCATAAGATGGATATTTGCCATAGCTGCCACGCTGAACAAGAGGGTTAGCAACCGCAGTTTTTTCATGCTGGTTTGTTTCGCTCTCTCTCCGTGAGAGCCGTGGTAGCTCAGATGGTTAACGCTCGCTGTGAATATAACACAACGCGAGTAACCCGGGTTCGATCCCCGCCAGCACCAATGAAATTGTTGATTGCAATTTTAAGTGCTGATTTACCATGTGCGCGCCGGTGAAGGAAAACATCGTGAGGAAACCTGCATGTCTGAGGAATAACAAAAAAATATTTCGAAGTTATGTGAAGTTCCCCAACATGCATTGGGGCAGCACGGCGGACACTTCCTTGCCCTAAAACCCTCTCATAAATGAGGGGAGGCCTGTGCCCAGCCGTGGGATGTATATAGGCTATAACTTTACTAACTTTTTGTTTCGCTCTGTCACCTCTGAGATAAACTCACGGGACGATAAGGAGTAGTGAATTAAAAATACTACCTATGCTATTATTAACTGTCGTTGTTCCTGTGACTGATATTTTTATTAAAACAATCCTTTCAAGAGAACCCTTAATATAAAGATTTAAATATATAAGTATATATATTCATAAGTAGTATAAGCGCTTAAGATATTTTAAAATACATACGACAACATTTTGTTTAGATGTCGTCATTATTAAGTTTGTAATTTTAGAGTTGAAACTCACAATAAATAAGCCAAAACAAGTTAAAATTGTCAACAGGCTTGTCAGGTAGCTTGACTTCGCTCCGCCCGATCCAATTTTCAATGAGTCTCATCGTTTCATTTGCCTCGTTGCCTTCCACCATTTTTGTGAGACGCGGTCCACAAAAATAAGGCGGGATGGAAGACGATATAAAAATACTTCGCATATCGTATCGCCATGAAATATCATTAGGGTTTTTGTTATAAATCGACATTGGGATTGTTTCGTTTTTGTTGTAAAATATTTCGAAACTCGATTTCATTTTCTACAGTAAACGTCCAACTCCATTAGTGTTTGTTAATTTGGGTGACCTCTGCTCTAACTGCACATTAGAAGGTTAAACTCAAATTCCCGAACTTTTTATTGTGGAATTTAAGAATTGTTCCTATTAATATTTATTACTGCATTAATGCTTAGTCTGGCGCTGGAAACTTTGAATTATAACTTATTGTGATTATAGAAAATTTTATAAAATAGAGGAAAGAAGAATAGAACTAACAGTCAGTTAGTCAGTCATTTACACCAATTGCTACATCAATATAATATTAAAAATAAAAGTCTTTATTTGTCTCAAAAAAAAAAAGTAAAAATTCATCAACATAAAAAATCTTATTATGCTACTTGGAAACAAAATGGTCTATGGCTCAATGAATGTAGGAGACCCACAGACCCTGGTATTCTGACATAACCTAAACATTCATGCAAGGTAGTCTGTATAGGTATACTGGTATTAGGTTTAGGTATCATAACTGAAAATTATAGTAAAAATCTAGGCTTTTGTACAGAAAATAAAACCTTAAAGTATATGTATTTTTAGAAAGGGCCTTTTATTATATGTTAGAGACCGCAGCTGGACACAAGCCTCTCGCATAGTAGGCAAGATTTTCCATAATCACCACGCTTGACAGACTCATTGGTGATCGCAGTATACCAGACGTCTAGCACTTCGACGCAGCTTCCCGTCGTCGGAATGGTTATACCGTCATCAATAACAAACCGTGAGATCTCCTTGGCACTTCCCCTAGTCGCCTCTTATGAAATAAGGTGATGAATTACGAGTATTTAGTGTTGCCACATCACAGTTAACACCACTCCACGCCTACAAACGTTGGTAATGCACTGCATTGTTCCATATGTGAAATATACCAATTATATTATTTCTTAATCTACTTCTTCCACGTGTTCTTTCGAAATCTACGTTTCGTTATCGCTCCGCTTCTTCTAATATTATTCGATTCGAAATGCAGAAAAAGGTTTAGAATATATCATCTACCATAAA